ATATATGTACATATATGTACATATATGTGTATATATATGTACATATATGTACATATATGTGTATATATGTATGTATATTTATGTACATATATACATATATGTATATATATTTACATATATGTACATATATATGTCACCACAGAGTGGCTTTTCTGTTCAGTCCATTGTCAAACCGGTGTCTTTTCAGACAGACGTGAACCTTCTGAACCACAGACACAGGACACCGGTGTGTGTGTGTCTGTGGTGTTGTTGTTGTTTTTTTACCCAGCAACAGTCTCCCAGCCTTGTACAGATGAATGGCCAGAGCTCCGTCGAACGGAGGACGCCGGGACACCAGAGCGGCCACCTCGGCGGGAGAGCCGAACTCTGCCGCGTCTCTGAGCTCACACGTGTGTCCCGCTGCTTCGACGTAGGACCTGAAACAGACCGACAGACGGGGAGTTCACATTACAGCCACGTCCCCACCTGTCCTCGTCTCACTCCACTGGAGTTTGACTGTAATACTACAGCCAGTGACCACCTGACAGCTCAGCTGTTCGACAACTACAGCTGGGGTTAAATCGTTAACTTATTACCCTGCACTGCACTTGTCCAACTCAGTGGTCATCATATTTAAAAAAAAGCACCGACAGACAGCAACAGACCGCGTCAGTTACCTGATCCTCTCAGCCGTGGTGTTGTTCCCAGTCTTAGGACTGAGACACGCCAGAAAGAGTATTTTCATATTAGGACTCGAAGTGGGTTATAATTCAGTGTTGTTGACGTGGAAGTATCGGTAGTTAATAGCGGAGAACCGTGAACGATATGCGAAGAATCGGCGCCATTTAAAAAAAGACAAATCCTGGTTTGAAAAACAAACAAAGAAACTCCACTGTACAATGTGTACAGAGGCTAAAGCAGGTAGCACAACAAAGCTAACAGCGAGCTCAAAAACGAGACTTGTTATTTGAGCGTTACTGTTCCTGTATCGACCGAGTTGAGGATTCGAATCTTTGCAAACCATTAACACAATAAAAAAAATACGATATCTCCAGTGACCCGGATCTCCGTGAATCCTCCGGTCCTCC